GCTTCCCCAGCCCTTCCCCAAGGGGCTGTGTCCTTTTACCAGGCACCCTGTGCCCGGAGAAAAGGAAATAGCCCTGCTGGGACTCCTGGGCGCTGCCTCTGAACTGATGTTGATTCTAGGGACTCAGAACTCTCAACGTGGCCACCAGTTAGAGAGGGGCTTGATAAGCCGGTCAGGTGATTGGTGGAATTTTAGCTTAGGGCCAACTCACGGAGTCCGATGGGTGCCCAAGCATAGTCTGTGCTTGTTTGTCCCGCTCCACAATGCATAATTGGGACGGATGTGCTTAGAGCTGGCAGAATGCTCACAATGGCTCCCTGACTTGTGGGACAAGGTCTACTGTGGTGGCAAAGGTCAAATAGAAGTCCCTAGAGCCGCTTCCGCCCAGGGAGAGGGAAATCGGAAGTGACGTGGCACCCTGGAGGGCCAACAGAGTTCAGTGCCACCATCGAGGGCTGGACGGATGCTCCGTGTGGAGTCCCTGCGCATCCCCGTTTGGCTCTTCCATTGGCCCAAGCAAAAAACCGATGAGCCCTAGAGAGTGACAGTGTGTTACTGTAAGCTCGACCAGCGGGGACTCCGACTGCAGCTGCTGGACCAGCTGTGGCTTCCCTGCTGGAGCAAGTGAATGGGTCTCCTGGTACCCAGTGTGCGGCTCCTGATCTGGCGAGTGCCCTTTTCTACATCGCTGTCCATCAGGCTGACCGGAAGCAGTTTGCTTATGTTGATCCACCTGCCCTACCTTCTCTCAGGGCTACACTGACGCTGCAGGACCATGGGGTAGCTCACGGGGGTCCTGATGGGCCTCCCCTTATTAGATCACACTGGCCCATTGCACCTGGTGAGGAGAAATGGCTCCTGCTCTGGACTTACTGGTACAGCATTTGTAGGCAATAAACCATATGGAAATTCAGGGGCCTCTACCTCCCCGAAGAGGTCTAGCGGTGTAGGGTGTCAGGAAACCTCAGGCGAAGGGTCACTGAGCCCGCCCTAACCAAGAAAGAGGCACAAGGCCAGTGGATCCGTTTGCATTTTGACAGTGACACACCTCCTCCTTTGGGTGTATTGCTGTGGTCTGTCTCCTAGGTGACCCCCAAAGTGGCTGGTTTCCAGTGGGGTCCAGAAGAGGCGCAGGCTCTGCCACTGGTCGGGGCTGCCATGCAAGCTGCTGTGCCACTCAGGCCACATGGTCCAGCAGCTCTGGTGGCACCTGAGATGGCAGTGGCACACAGAGATGCTCATTGGTGCCTTTGGCAGGTGAATTACAGCCCAGAGCTTTGCGGTGTTGGAGCAAGGTCCAGCCATGGTCTGCAAACAGCTCCCCTCCCTTGGAGACAGCTCTCTGCATGCTGCTGAGTGGAAACTAAACCTTTGACTGGGGCTCACTTGGTTACTATCTGAGCCGAGCCGCTGGTAATAAACTGGGTGTTATCTGACCCAGGGAGCCTTAACGCCAGGTGTGTGGCAAGACTCTTGTCAGGTGGGAGTGGTAGTTTCATGATTGGGTTGAGCAGGTCCTGAAGGCATGAATAGGTGCAGAAGTGTCCAGATGCCCACGGGTCCTACTCCTGCCACCCCACCCTCTGTCCCCAGTGTGCACCTCTGGGGGCCGTGGGTACACCCTAGCATCAGCTGGTGGAGGAAGATGGCTCTGCGTCGGCATCCAGGGGACAGCTGCGGCAGACAGCCCCTCCCTGGGAGGTCCTTGAAGGACAGTGGTGACGGACCATCTTCTCACCCTGTGCACTTTGCCTCCAGGAGAGCTGGCAGCTGTCAGGGTACACTGATTCACAGGTCCCAGCCAGAGGTCTGAGCTGGACAGAACACGATTGCAAAATTGGCTGCAGAGAAATTAGGGGAAGAGGCACTTGGGCCAGACCTCTCTGAGTGGACAAAGGACATGAAGGTATTTGTAAGTGCTCGTCAGGAGGTGACTGAAGTAGAAGACTTTAAAGATCAAGTGGTGGGCTGGGGACTTAGCGGCACAGCGCCTGCCTGGCAAGCGCAAGGTCATGAGTTCGGTTCCTGGTACCGGTAAAAACAACAACAACAAAATAAAGATCAAGTGGCTAGGGGGACGCATCCCGTGCACGCCAGTCACCTTCTGCAGCCACCACTGTCACCGCTCGTGAGCAAAGTGGCCTTGGTGGCAGGGAGGGAATTTGTGCCTGGACTTCCGCGCACCCAGGCCTTCACAGTGACACCCACTGCTGAGGTCCCCAGCTGCCAGCGGAGGAGACCAACACCGCGCGCCCAACATGGCACCATCGCCCAGGGTGGCCGACAGCCAGCTGGCGGCAGGTTGATTTCCTCGTACCGTTTCTGTCATGGAGGGAACAACACGTTGTCCTCACGGGAATAGATCCCCGTCCTGGGTACGGATTTGCCTTCCCCGCACACCGTGCTTCTGCCAGAACCACGATCACAGCCTGCTGTCACACTTCTCGCGGGAACCGCTCTGCGCCTCACCAGTCTTCCCGGGTTTTCCATCGACCTGGGCACCTGGCTCGGTCATTGTGCGGAATGACCTTGTAAAGGCCCAGTTGCAGCTCCAGCAAGGTGGCCGTATGTCCCACACGGGGACAGAGTTCTCCAGGAGGTTATGTGTGCTCTGACTCAGCGTCCAGCGTCCAGCATCCCTTCCCCTGGTGACCTCCTGGTCATACTTGTGCTTCCCATTCCCATGACCTGCTGATGCTCTGCTGCCCAGAGGGAGGGGCTTCCAGCAGGAGACAGAACAGCGGTCCCACCGAACCGGAAGTTAAGACGGCCACTCGGTCACCTTGGGCTCCTCGGGTCTCTTGAGTCAGCGTGTTAAGAGCAGAGTGAGGGTGGCGGCTGGGGATTGATCGAAACTCCCAAGGGGAAACTGGGCCACTGCCCCACCCCAGAGGCAAGGAAGGGTACTTTGGCGAACAGGAGACCTTAGGTCTTTTCTTGCTATGACCGTGCTCTGTGGTTAAGGTCAGCGGGAAACTACAACCACCCAGTTCTAGGCTGGAGTTCAGGGTGGAGGCTCGGGTCACCCCATCAGGGGAAGAACTGGGATCCAGAAAGATATGCCCTGCAGGAAAAGGGAACAAGGAATACGCAGAGAGAGTACAAGCTACCGCCACATGACCAGTCATAGAAACCAAGGCCGAGGTTGCGACAAGGGCTTCCTTCCTGTGTGTTCGTACATGTACGTATACTCTTCCTTCCTATGTGTACGTATACACGCACACAGTATGCAGGTATCTCTGTTGTTTCTTCTCTCTTATTCTGTACCATACAATCTAAGAGGTGCTGCATTTGTACCAGGATTTGATCATCATTGCTTTTGTGTCCTGGTGATTGTGTTATGGGATAGATAGTAGGAGAGAAGTGAACACCACTCCCTGAGACTGGTATGTGTTCTGTGCTGCATAGGGTATAGCACCATGCTAGAAGGAGCCGTGAGCGAGGTGTTGTCTTTATCTGGAGATTGAGTATGGCTTGAGAAGATGTGTACGAGGGCCAGGTTGGCAAGTGGAAGGCTTGGGATGCTGAGCTGGCTGGAGGAAGGGATAACCAGCAGCTGGGAAATCATCCTGCAGAAAGGGAAACGCAGCGGTCTGGCCTGTGATGTGAACAGTTGGGCTGAGTGAGCTGTGTCTTTTCGGGAGTTTCCAGAGCTCGGTGTGTGAGTCAGTGGACCAGGTGGGGAAGATCAGGCATGTCCAATCAGCAAGGGGCCTGGATGGAACAGAATGGCTCCTACATCCATTTTCTGTTGCTGTAACTAAATAACCAAGGCTGGGTAGTTTATAAAGATGAGAAGTTTATTTGGCTTACGATTTTGGAGGTTTGGACATCCAAGACAAGGTGCCAGAACCTGCTGGGTACCTAATGAGGGTCTGCTTGATACACTGTAAGACAGTGGAGGATGTGGGTTGGCCAGACGGTCAGCCTGCTGGCTTAGTCCCTAACACCATCCCAGGGTGCTACCCTCATGACTGCAAGGGTGCTGATGACCTCCCGTGACCCGGCTTGAACTGGGGAGGAGCTTTTAGGGGACATCTGTGCACCATGGCAGAGGTGATTGCGGGCTCTGTGTCCTGGAGCCAGGCTGCCCTGGACATGGGAACTGCGGGTTCTCTGGCCTTTGGGCCCTGGAACTTGTGTCACCTCCCTACCCCTGGGCTCTCCGGCTTTGGCCTCGAGCTGAGAGTTACACCCTGAGCTTTCCTGGCTCTGTGGGGTTTGAGGCTGAGCCCCTCTCCTGGCTTCTGTGGGCCTCAACCTTGCCGGTGGCCTATTGTGGGCCTCCTTGGTCTCCGTAGTCATGTGAGCCAAGTCCCCTCATAAACCCCCTCTTCTCCATCTCTTTGGAGAACAGAGGTGTATCCGACTGGTTCAGGCTCTCTGGAAAATAGTCACGGAGGCCTTAAGAGTCTGGTGAGGAGGCTGGGCCTAGAGGGCCCTGACCTGCTAGGTGTGATTGGCCTGGAAGCCTTTCTGAGGTGGGACAGGCAGGCTTTGGTGACTTGACCTGCAGATGTCACCGAGCAGTCCAGCGTGTTTGGAGGTCATGGTGTCCGATGGCCCTAGAAAGGGGCTGGGCATGTGGAGGTGCTTTGAACCTGTCCCAAGGGAAAGTGGCCCAGGTGGATGTGTCCAGGTGGCAGCTGGCCCTGGGCTACAGATGAGGGCCGGGACCATCCTTGCGAGGAGGTGATGGTGGCGTTGGCCAAAGAGTGTGCCTCCGAGATGCAGCAGCCCAGGCGCGGAGCTCGTACCCGGCATTTCCCCTGAGACCGGGAGGGAAGGCCGCCCCCGGCCTCCCGCAGCAGGTCCCCCACTGTCCCGGGGCCTCCCTAGCACCTCGATCCCACAGGAAGTGGTCGGAGGTGGGTCGGGGAGACTGGGGAGTCAGAACCTGGTTCCTTGAGTGCTCTGAGCATGAGACCTGAGTCCACGCCTGCGTCCGCGCTTCTAGCTTGGAGATTTTAAGAAAGCGCTAATGAGAAAAGCCGCCTGTATTTGAGAAGCTGTGAAAATGCTTTATTGTCATCGCCCGCCGAGTGATACCTAAGTGTCAAGGTTCCTTTCCAAACACCGCCTCATCTGGAGAACTGTGAAGCCAGCGCGTGCTGGGTGGCCGGGTCCTCCTCCGTGGCCGCGTCCTCCTCCGTGGCTGGGTCCTCCTCCCCGTCCCGTCTCTTGCCCTCCATTGACCCTCAGTGCTTGTCTTCCCACCAGGCCACACGCAGGGCTGTCTGGACAGATGGCTCGGGATAAAGGTTTCTTCTCTCTTTTCAAAAATTCCTTCGTCTTTCAGCCGCTGAATGGCGGCTCTGTCCCGGCTGTCATGGTGCCTGGGCCGCCGAGGTACCCAGACAGGGCCGCCCGGAGGCTCGTCTGGACCGGGGCCGCGCCATGACTAGGTCTCTTTCTTCCCCTAATGTGTCTCGCCGCAGCTGAGGTTGGCCCCTGTTCACAGTCTGTGTATTTTATGATGGAAAATTTCAGACACAGACAAGAGCAGAGACTGATAGGGTGAATCCCAGGCCCCAATCAGCGGCATCAGCCGTCTCTGCTCATTCCCTCGTTTCTTTCATGTGGGTGGAAAGACCCATCCTGCTTAGAAATGATTTGAGTCCTAGAAAAGGTCAGGTGGATCTTGTGCTGGGGGTGGAGGCTGCTACTGAGCTGCCCCAGAGCTGCCCCCGGGACCCCCTCTCGTTTCTGCAGGACCTCAGGGCCGCCAGAGAGGGGAAGAAGGGAAGACAGACCACACGGGGCTACTTTTGTTCGGGGGCCTTGGGAGCAAGGTTCCATATGGGATTTAACTTGGGGCCCAGTGTGAGCGGCCTTCTCCCACCTGCCCGCCTCTGCCGACTCCCAGAAATGCTTGCGGTAACTGTGAGGAACAGAGGAAAGTCCCCAGGACCAGGGTCCAGCAGGAAACCCCTAGGATGCTTCTGAGAGCCACCAGGTGTCGGGTGTGAAAAGTGGCCTCACCTGCCGTGTCTGGGGGACATGGGCTGTGCTCTCCCTTTTCTTTCTGGAGAGATGGTTTGGAACATCCCTGGGGAAACGGCGCTTTCTGTGTGGTGCTGAGCCGGGCCTCAGCCCTCACCAGATAAATTCAGTGAGCTTAGTTAGGCAAAGTAGAAAATGGGGCTAAGTTTCCATATTGCCAAAGCTGGTCCCTAAGCCTTGAAATACAGGAGCCTTCAGAGGACAGAGCTTTTGTCTTGGTGTAACTTGTGCCTAGCCCTCTCTTTCCCTCTGAACTTTTATAGGACAAAGCGGGTCTGCCTGAGCTCACTGGATGCGGTGCCATCTTCCTGGGTGTAGACCGCGGGGGCTAATGCTGGATCCGCTTTGCGGTGTAGTTTAAACACCACGTGGCTGGCCTGCTGTAAATGTCCGTGCTGATGGTCTTCAGGCCATGCATACATCAAGGCAGCCACTGATGCCCGCTGGGGTTCCTTTCTCCTCCTGTGGGTGGGGACAGGTTGGTGGAGGACAGTTCTCCCAAGGGCCAGAAGTGCAGGTCTCCATCCAAGGTGTTTCCTGGACGGCCACCTTGGGAGGCCGGGAGGATGGCATGTGGACTCGGTGACTTGGGTGAGAAAGCTGCTCCTGGGGAATTTGGGCTGCACGGAGGGGTGGAGAGAGGTGACCAGGGGTAAGGTGGCCCAGAGCCAGCCCCAAGGTCACAGGGGTGGGTGGTGAGCTGCCCGATGTTTACGGAGCCCTTGACTTTTCCAGGCTCCAGTGTGCACTGCTGCCCACAACCCTGTCCCAGGCAGCTACTGGGCCCATTGTACAGATGGGAAACTGAAGTCTTTAAAATACAGGCCGTGGGTGTGGTAGCGCACATCTGTAATCCCAGCACTTGAGAGGCCGAGGCAGGAGGATCACTGCAAGTCCAAGGCCAGCCTAGAATACAAAGCGAAAATTAAAACAAAGTCATATGACTTGCCCAGGGGCATACAAGAGATTAGGCAGGACACAGTGTGTCCCGTGTCCCACCAGCCCACCGCAGTGTCTCAGGAGACGGCCCGTAGCAGGTGCTTGGTGATGGCTGGATGGACCTAAGGGGTGTCATTGGAGTGGTGAGCAAGTGGAGATCCTGACCCTGTGCTTCTCAGGAGTGACCCAGGCAATTGGAAAATGTCCCAGAAGCCTGCTGGACATTTCTGGCGTCTGCTGGGCTGTGAGTGGACCTGGCTATGTCCCACAGAATCCTTCCACCCACTCGAAATACGCAAGGAGCGGGCAGGCCTGGAAACTGTTCTGAGGCTCCCTGATGAGCTCCCTTTGCCCCCTGCCACTCCTGGGCGAACCCCTTGCGTTCATAATGCAGAGAGGGAGGGAGGATGGGACCCTGGCATGTGTATCTGCCGTTTGTCTAGGAAATCCCACCTCACCCCAAGATCCCTGCCCCGCTCCAGCCTGGGGTGTGGGTCTCTTACACCAGCTGTTTCTGTCCAGGAAAAATCAGCCCTCAGCTTCAGGCTTTAATTACCTCCCCAAGGGATGCTTCCGGTGGGTATTTCCAGTGGCAAGTGGCTGAGGTCCAGCTCCTAAATCAAATGAGGGTATTAAACTGGGTCATAGACTCGCAGGTCCCAGGACCGGGAGGGAAGAACACAGGGCGGGGGGACGGCTGAGGCTGCGCACAGCATGCTGTCCTAGGTGAGGGGTGGCCCCAGGCATTGGAGCCGCTGCTGCTATTGCG